GGAGAAATAATATTCCTTCACTCTTTCGTGGATAGAACTGGTTCAGCAAACTCAAGTAAGCTCAGAATTTCAGTACACGCAGCTTAAACTATCAGAAACAACTTTGCTGAAGACAGCATCACGAATCAAGTTAGTATTATGGAGATATTAAATAATTATGTGCATTGGGCTCCATATATTGCAACTAAAAATAAAAGTTCGTATGTTCAACAGGTCTACATCCAGGATCGTGTCTTTTGGTGCGATAACAACTCTCTGCATGTTTCAGCTCTTTTTGACGTTACACGGGCTGACGCTTTTGGTTTAATGTTCATATAAGAGATTTGGTTGAAATTTTCATATACAAAATGTTCATATACATTCAAAGGCAAATAGTTCAATATAATTAACTGGATCCATGATGCGATCTTCAGCAAAGTTGTTACTTATTAATTGAACTACAAGTTTTGAAAATCTGAATCAAATCGAGCATGAAAAAACGTTGTTATGATCGATAGAGTGTAGGAGTGTCATTTTTTCTTGTATTTTATCCAAAATCCCCATGCAAAATTCAATTTAAAGCGCTAGCTCATCCTACAACCAAATGAGCTTAAACTTTCAGAGAATGGTTTTCTCACCTAAAGGCACAAATCTGGCACGTGGAAATTGTCACCCCAATGACAAAATAAAAAATACGGGTCCAATATGTTGCGATAAGGAACAAAACTACCAATTTTTACGAAATTCTGAGAACTATTATAACGGTTTGCTATGTAATGGCTTACTTTAAAGAATTATCTCGAAAATATGGCACATCTAGCATACCATGACTAGTTTCTTCTATATTGTTTGAACCACAAGAAAAGTTTTACAAATAATATGGGGAGTGAAACCCAGCTTAATTTTATTGCATCAGAAGTATTTTTTTTTTCTCGAAAATGGCTAGGACTATTTTCAAAAATCTTTTGGAGCTATATCTCACGTTTTCCAGAGATTCCGTAATAATTTTTTTTTTTTTTGTAATTATTGGTTGGTTTCATGGCAAACCGTCCTAACCGAACATCGGTAAGTAAAAATCAAAAACATTAGAAGAATGAAATTTCCTTCAATGAAATATTTTAATCTATACAGATTATATTATAAGAGGTTCCAAACTATGACCCAAACGGAATACAATTGTACAAACTGAATTCAGATCACCACAGTACCGACGAAAACGACGATTATTTTCACAAAACACACGATGAGCAAGCAATGTATAAAACTCCTTAATATTCTGGGACCTGGGTTTGATCCCAACCCCTTTTCGTCATGTTCATCCTATACCTAAAGCAATGCTTATCGCAGAATTCTTTAAAAAAAACACATACCTTAGAGAGTAGCGTACTAGATGGGTCGTTCCTAAGTGTAACATTCGTCACCCTATGAAGATTTAATTTATTTATTTTTTCCAAAATATCGACTTAAGAAGCGAACACATCAAAAATGTTATGTTCTGTAATGATGAAACCTACCACGTGCACCAAATATGTTTTTCAAGAAAGATTTAAATTTCGTAAAAAACCAGATTTTACGCACAACATGAATAAGGTAATGTTGTGCGTAAAATCTGGTTTTTTCTCCCCCTCCCACATAAAATAGAACCTAGTAGGTGCCAAGCCTGCTGAGAGAGTAATTCCCCCACACTGTGTGACTGGCACTATCATTACTCTGTGAGGAGAATTACAGATAAATTTTAGGAATGTAAAACCTGGAATTTTTTTTTAAAGAGTTAGGCTAAGTTTTTCTATGATTAGCGAACATTTAGTGAACTTTAAGGAGAATTCCAAGGTAGTTTTAGTAGAATTCTAAGAGAATTCTGACAGATTTCAATAAATCACCGAAGTGAACTTATTGAATAAAGATAGAAGATTCTGAGGTTAATTCCAAAAGAACTGTAAGGAATATTAGTAAAGAGATCTGAGGCTTCAGGAGAAATCCAGAGGACGAATTCTGCGATGAGTCTTGAGCAGGTACGTAGTGAGGTAGTGAGAAAAATAGCCTCCGCCAAAGGTCAAGGCAAAGGGGCGTTTTCAAAGAGGATTTCCTAGCATCTTTTTAACGACATTAATTTCGTTGACATTTAATCAATAGGCAGCAGTCCAAGGGCATTTTGTATTGAACTCCTAGGGAATTCTGGATATCCGTTGACGATTTCAAAGCTATATTGAAAAGCATTCCATGAGCTTCTTCTTCTTTCTTCTTATTCGCATTTCAAGCTTATTGCTTAGTGCATATTAGCTTATTGCGTGCTCTCAACTTAGTGTTCTACTAAATGCACTTCCACAGTTATTAATTGAGAGCTTTTGATGCCAATACCAATGCATGAATTTGTATATTGCGTGGCAAGCACAATGATACTCTATGCCCAGGGAAGTCAAGAAAATTTCCAACCCGTCCCGACCGGACCGGGAATCGAACCCGCCGCCTCCGGCTTGGTAATACCGTGCCTTTACTGACTAGGCTATGAGGCCCCGTGATTCCATGAGCTTATTACATGGTAATTACATTGGCGTAGCTAATGAGGGTGCCAAGGGGATCACGTCTCCTCCAAAATTATCTAGACACCCCCCCCCCCCCCCCCCGAACTTTTGGTGTTTTTTTTTATTCGCCGGTATTTTGTCAAGCTTGTCAAGTTCAATGTTACAAATCTTTTTTTTTTAAGTCCTTTATTACGACGTCCTGAAGACGTCTTATTATGCCAACGATTAAATATAAATATAATATGACTTCTCAAAATTTCTTCTTGTAGACCAGGACTAGAAGAAGGCAATTTGAGAAATCATATTATATCGATATTTAATTGAATTTGATCTAAATTACCTACATAAAGGCGCAACTGAGCATTTAAGACAACTTTATTTGGCATTTCTGTTTTAGCACTTGCATCGGATTCAGGGAACCCACATTTCATAAGAATAATTACTAGAAATGCAATGGGTAGTCATTTGAGGGGTTGATCAATTTCACCCAATATCGATATTTTCAAATTTAAGATTTAAAACAAATTTCCTAAAAATTAACAAAACATTCAAATTTATAAGAAATCATGCAGGACGGTGGAGCCCTTATAGCTACTGATTTGAATATCATTAGTTTTTCATTGTAGTTTATTGTAGATTTTTTTTTTTACGTTAAATAGTGATCAATTTATCCCCGGATTACGGTATTCATTTCTTTCTTTTCGGAATTCAGCTGCAGGATAGCCTTAGCACATAGAAAAATCTTTTGTGTGTATTTTGTATTAAAGAAATCAAGAACACTGTAAAAGCTTGTGTAAATAATTATTTGGTTCCGAATGGGTTTAACCAAAACTAACTTCATTTAAAATATATAAAAATCCCAATGCTTTTGCGAAAATAAATTCAATTATTATCTAGTTACAAACAGGAACACTATCATTCAAGTTTCGAGTTCATTCCTTTTAATTAGAATTAAAGTTAAATCTTGATTGACTCTGCATGTCAGTTAGTCCGATGCATCGAATAAAAAAAATGTTCTGGATAAATATTTTATTACTTTTTTTTCACTTGAAATATCAGAATCATGACAAATTATAACCCGAATTTTCATACTATGTTTAAAATTCAAACTCCTAGAATTTAATTCTAGGAATTCTAATGTAGTTCTAATGTCCTGGAACTAGCATAAATTTAGAATTCAAGACGGCACTTTTTTCTTTGAATATTTTTGGTCGGTATCTGTTCCACCCAAGGAGGTGGCATCCCTATCCTTACTAATAACAAGAACCCGTAGCGTGCATAGGCGAGGACCCGCTTAGATTGATATGTGATCACGTTTTTATGCTGGCTACGAAAAGAAGGCGGCGTGTCAGGCCCTTGGTTCCACCACGCAATCGTCAATCACCTTAATGTCGAACACATGTTTTGATGGGCCGGGGCTATAGGCTTTAATTCCCTTCCGAAGAAAAATGTGAGACAGACAGAGATGACAGAGATTTTTTGTCTTAGAATATCTTAACTACCTCGACTGGGGTTGTACCCACTAAGGTGAGAAGGCAGTCACGGTTACCACACAACCACCGGTGCCGTCAAAACTTGTCACTTTATATTTTCAATTTGGAAAAATTGCCATTGCCAAGGGCGCAGTAAACACACCTCTGGTCTTGAACAAAATCTAGTGAAGAATTCCAAAGACATTATCAGGATGATTCAGACAAAGAAAAAATTACACGTCCTCAAACACAGAAGTCAAATCTATGATTGAGAAATAAAAAATTCAAGATTTTATTTTATTTTAAATTGTTGAGATTACATGCTTAGAAAAGTGTTCAAAGCGAATGATTGATGAGTTCATACGATTTTGCATGGCTAATGGCTAATCAGAAGTGCGCTAATTTGGGAGACATTTGATTATTGATTCGTTTTACAATTTCTATCAAATATACATACAATATTTTTTTTTTCTTTTTTATTGTAGTCCCTTTAACTAACGCTTTTGGGTCATTAGTGACTTGTCCGGGGGTGAGATTTGAACTCGTGACTTTGGCGTGAGAGGTATGAATGCTAACCACTACGCCGGGGTCGCCCCCTCTGTATACCTAAATAATTGCCCCCATATAAATACGATGGATTCTACTTTTACGCAATTTCCATTCCATTGAAAACAAAGACGCAGTAGCAAAAACAAAACTGGCCAGTAAGTTCACAAACAGCGAGTTTGTAAGAAATGTACATACCACATATAAGCTTCAGAGGTTCTCGCCTCTGACAATATTGAATGTTGACAATAAATATACGCTTGTTTTAATCTTTTTTTCTGTAAATAAATGCTACCATTTCAAAGTCCCGTTCGCAGCAAATATCCCTTTTGAATAACACATTCATAATACATGCACAATACTTTGCGCCGCTTTTTATGCAATACGTGTGCCAAAGGCCCAGTCCCCGGCATTTTTCTTTTTTTGCTAAAACTGGAGGAATAAGCAAAATATAACAACAGGAAGAGAATGAATAACTTACCTATCACTTTGCACGGCATTTGACGAAACAGCGTTCTTCCCTATGCATAACGAGTCAGAATGCATTCGTCGATGGGACTTTTCTCTATTTTTAACTCCAAAGTCCTCATTCAGTTGTATCACAATGTCGTCGAATATGTCTCCGGTGCTGGCACGTTTACTAGGCACTTTTTCCGGCAGAAAGGCATCCAAGAATGGTTTACTAGGGATGTTGGTGTTGGTTTCTTCGTCCAGCTCAAGAACAGCATTCGAATCGCTATCACTAGTACACGAACGGTCCTTCAGTTTCAGTTTGTTTCGTTTGAATAAATAATTGAAACTTTGCCGAAATGAAGACCCCCGGCGGAATGGAGACGAGGAAGATTCATTACCGGAACTATTGGTAAAATCTTCTGTCTGACGCGAAATGCTTCTAGCCTTAGCACATGCATCTCGCCCGTCATCAATCACAATCACTTGGGAGCCAGGCTTGAGAATCGATGTTATCCGCGCACCTGTTTCGTTACCCAAACTTATTGCTTTTTCTTCCCGCCCATCACATAGCTGTCCCATATCGTTATGCCTCACCAATAATGGCAAACTACACGGGCGATCACTGCTGTATGAGCTTCCTCCACCGCTTGCGGTATTCCCATCTGCCTCGTTGGATTCGAACGACACTATCTTTTTCCGCAAATACACGTCATCTTCCGAATCGAGCCCATTTTTGGGAACCGTTTTGTTTTTCCCAATGCCCAACCGCCGTACAAATTGCGGCAAAAATTTAGTTTTTCTGTGCACTCCGTTGGACTCTTCCGACAGTGAGACCATTTTTCCTCGCCACCCGTTAGACACCCAGCTTTCGGCGACACCACTCCCACACTACCGGTCAATGCGATCGATATTGGCTCGATTTCAAAATTATATCATTTCACACTGCGCTGCTGCACTGCTTCCTCACCAAATTCTCTCTGCGTCTTTTCGTTGCTGCAATACTCCATCGCCGCTAACTAACTTGAACATTTTTTTGCCATCGATAATTTCACACATCACTTCGCTTTGGGACTTCGACTAAATGTTTCCATGTGCCGATCGATAACACTGTTTTACTCACTCGCCATTCAGCATTTTCCAACGACATAAGTCATACGTATATTAAAAGTAAGTATGGCGGTCGCCGACTTTTGCCTTAAAACGTCTGTTCCTTCATTTTATGGATTGCGCGTTTTTGTGCGTGTTTCATTAAACCCTGAGCACAGCTGTTATTATGAAACTGAACATACGAGCAGATACGCAGTTTAGTTAGCACTTCCTGAGGCCATAAAAGAGCTAGAAAATATTTTGCATTTTGCGAAATTGTGAGAAATGAGAATGAAAAATTCTGGTTTTCTAATCGTTTTGAAAACATCCACAACATAGAGTAAAAGTTCGACCTTATAGTTGGAAAATTCACCTGTCTCAAAAATCCGACCATTTGGAATGAAACTAATTCCATACACAGAGTTTTACTACTTAACAACCCAGGCAAAACGCGAATAAAAACGAATTTCAGACCCTCTCTGACTTCCATGAAAATTTGTATTGAAATTAGGCCATTTTGATTCGCACCTAATTTTTACGCACAGTAAAACAAAACAAATGTTGGTCAAAAACCGAAAAGATCTGATAAAAGCTGCAATATTAACAAAAGCGTACTTCAAATGTGTTTAAACTTACTGTTATTTCAAAACAAAAAATGCAAACTATTCAGAAAATTCGATTTTTTTTTATTGGCGATCTAACGATAGCGCTCGTGGTGAATAAGAGAAATAGAAAAATGATGATGGTCTTAAAATTTTGCACGTTGAGGTATAGGAAAGAAATCTCTAAAACCATTTATTATCCGAAAAAAAATATTTATCATTTTTTTAAAAGCTGCTACGGAGGAAGAAGCCTCAAAAGATATCCGATAGACGTATGATTTTAAAATTTTATTTTATTTTCTTAGTTTTTGTTTAGATCTTTAGATCTGAACTTTTCTAACCTTGTATGCACAACCAAATTTATAGAAAATACTTTATTCGTTAAATAAAAGCGTTTTTAAAATATTTTCCTTTACCTTGTCGTGCAAAAATATGATACCATCATCAGTTTTCTAGTTCTCCTATTTGCCACAAGCGGCACTTTACCATCGTTAGATTGCCAATTGAGATAATTTTTGTTTTGGGCAATAAAAACAATTCTTTAGATATAAGAAATCGTATGCAAAAAAAAAACAATATATTTGAACAAAAAAAATTCAGAAATTTTAGTAAAAGTTCACACTTAGAAAATTCATGTAAATTTAGGTGCTCTGAGAGTGACATATACGAGCGTCAATTTTGACATAAATTTGAGTCATGACATACGTGAAATATAGCTCAATCAAACGTACTTTTCGTCGAGCATCGAACTTCTCAGTCTTGGAGCACTAAATATTACATGACATGTTTGTTTACGTTTCATCTTTTATGTCAAAGATGGATTCCGTCACGTGTAAAATTAGTTATTTCTAAGTGTGTTGATCTTTTACATTTTTTTGTCAATTTTAGAGTTACCAATTTGAAAATTTCACAAAAGTTGTTTTATAAGCATTTAATTAAACATAAGTTTAAAAATATTTAATGTACGCTGTTTTTGTTCATTTTTTTCTTGTTCAAAATTTGGGATTTTTTAACGTGTATATTTATTTTAAAGGCCATCTATTTTCTCAATCTCCCTTAGCTCAGCCAGTATAGACGCACACACTTAGAAAAAATCATGTAAATTTAGGTGCTCTGAGAGCGACATATACGAGCGTCAATTTTGACATAAATTTGAAATATATTCTGACAGACGCGAAATATAGCTCAATCAAACGTACTTTTCGTCGAGCAACGAAATTTTCAGTCTAGGAGCACTTAATATTACATGACATGTTTGTTTACGTTTCATCTTTTATGTCAAAGACGAATTCGGTCACGTGTAAAATTAGTTATTTCTAAGTGTGCAGTTATAAAGCAAAACCATTCTGGAGGTACTCGGTTTTTAGACTTACATGGGCATAGAATATTATTCGGAAATGGCTCTAACGTTGGCCTACACAGTTAAAATTATTTTGTAATTTTACACGCATTTCCATGCACATAAAAAGAGCATGCATATGGTGAAAAATTATATTGGTTTTTAAATTTACACAACTTGAAATTTACATGAATGTAAAATTAAACGTCACTTGAATTTTACATGGATGGCTTTAGATGGGCTCATCTTGTAATTTTACAGGACATTTAAAATTACACGCATTTCACACACGTTAGAAACGGCGCTAAGTATGATGCCTGCATGCACACTTAGAAAAATTCATGTAAATTTAGGTGTTCTGAGACTGACATATACGAGCGTCAATTTTGACATAAAATTAAGTCATGATAGACACGAAATTCAGCTCAATGAAACGTACGTTTCGTCGAGTAACAAACTCTTCCGTCTCGGAGCACTTAATTTTACATGACACGTTTGTTTACGTGTCATCCTTTATGTCAAAGATGGATTCCGTCACGTGTAAAATTAGGATTTTCGAAGTGTGTGGTTAGCATGTAGTGTTGTGAAGCTCAATGTATTTTCTGTTCGAACATCAAAAAATTATAGTTTTTTGAACGAATTTACATAAAATTTAACTTGTTATCAAGTACGGGGAATTATCACCCACGCGGAATAACCCGCCTTCACGTAACAGTACATACCCTACACTTCCAGCACTTCCAGCACTTCCAGCACTGCATCAAAACGATCAGTCAGGAGAAAAAAGGAACCACGAGCGCATTTTTGAATGTTATCCTATTTTTTCATATCAATTTTTATTATTTTCTGAACGAACTAAAAGTGCTCTTGGTATAAAACCGCTTTTATCAATATTGTGTCTGTCATCCATTTTATATTTATGGACGCGCATATGCACGATAAATTGTCCCACATCACCAATAACTGTTGAAGTGCTTCAAAGGACACTAAGGCTGTGTTCTAATTCAGGGGAAACAAGTCAGAATGGCCTAACTCGACACGTAAACATTGGCTTGGATCATTGATTTCTTACGAATTATAACACATCTGCGCAAACTAACTACAACATCTTTTTCTTTTTTTTTTTTTTTGCTACCGACGGGAGGCAGCTCCCACACCACGACCCATCAACTCATGAACCGGGGACCAACGGCTTTACTTCCCTTCCGAAGAAGGGCGTGATCAGACATGTTATGCGTGATCAGACATCCCGGCGGCGCTGACTGGGATTGAACCCAGGCCTTTTGGGGTGAGAGGTAATTACGCTTACCACTACACCACCGGTGCCGCTAACTACACCATCTGATAGAGCAAAATTTAGTTTAGCAGGTGGTGTAGTTAGTTTTCCTGGGTGTGTTGTCATTCGTAAGAAATCGACGTTCAAAGTAGGTGTTTGCGTTTCGAGTTAGACCCTTTTGACATGCGTAACCAGGATTGCCGTCTGAGGGAGGCTTTTTAAAAAACCTTTTGTTTTTTTAAATACCCAGTTAACAGTGGGCGATGCTTGTGGTAATAAAATTTATTATTAGAATCAATACTTTTATAGTATTTTTTCAGAATCTTAGATAGGTTTTAGCCTAAAATGCAAAATTTCAGGATAATGCGACAATAGTTTAATATTGTGCACAGCGATAAAGAAGATAATTTGTAGAGAAACTGTAAATTTTTAGGCATAGCATGATACATTGATCTTCAAGAAATTCAATGTATTATAATAATTTGTCCTTATCCTCCACGAGGAAAACTAACACCTTCTACAATAAAATAAATAAAATTCCGTTATAAGATTTGTTTACTCGTTACCGAGTATTTTTTCACTACTTTTCATTGAAAATAATTTTTAGACATCTATAACTAAACGAGACCTTTCTAAATATCTGGACCACGTTTTGCTCAAGTTTGTGCTTCAATTTTAAAATTGATTATTTTCATCAAGATTGATTTTTTAGTTATATTTAGCAGTCACCCTAGGATTTTCCCGGAGCTGAACCAGCCTCTGACTGAAAATCTCCATAATTAATATATTCTAATTTCAAATAACAGACTAAAGTGGTAATTTTTATACGATAGATGAGGAGATGAAAGTAAAGAATTGATAGTTCCGTTTAGAGTACGGCAGTGTGAAAATTGCATATAGAGAGTAGACAGCGAGCTAGACAACTTTTAAAGGTAGGTACAAATCGGTTTTATCATCTCTCTTTACCAAACTCCCCCTTTGGAGTACAAGACTCTGAAGACACTGAAGATGTCTGCACATTGTAGACGAAATACGCGTATCTGTCAAGGATAAGCAAATAAAGTAGTGGAATTAAATGGAAAATACTAATCCTTCTCTCTCTCACAAACAGAATGTCGTGCACGACAACTAAGCAAGTGTAGTAAAAAACATCAACTATTTCAACCCTTGCCCCTCACCATTCCTCTCCAAAAGGGGAGTTTGGTAAAGAGAGATAATAAAACTGATTTGTACCTTCCTAAATGTTGTCCTAGCTCGCTTTCTACTCTCTATATGCAATTTTCACACTGCCGTACACTAAACGGAACTATCAATTCTATACTTTCATCTCCTCATCTATCGTATAAAAATTACCACTGTAGTCTGTTATTTGAAATTAGCATCTTCAACTATGACTTCACGCAGAAGTAGTACTAAACATATAGTCAAAGTCCATAATAAAGATAACCAACCAGCCCTAGTTTTCTTGTGTTTTTTGTCTTGATCTAGAGCGTTAAAAATGTTTAATAATATAAAATCAAATTATTATTCAATTTAACCCAGAAAAAGGTGCTGTTATTATTCTCAACTTTACATGTTAATAAACACCACAATTATGACTAACACGCTAGACTGACTGATCAATAATTGTTTTTCGTTGATCCATAATTGTGGGGTCAGGACCATCAAAATGTGGATTCAGGACCATCAAATAACTTAAAGAGGATGTTGGTTACGATTAAAAAAAACATTACGACCGGCAGAGATGGATCGCTCATTAAAGCATCGTTCATTACTTTTTAATATTGAAAGCTAACGTTTAAAACCAATTCAATTTTAAGATAAGCCACCTTAAGCTAGATAGATTAATGCTAATATGCTTCTGATAAAAAAAAAATCAAAAAAATACTAGAGTGCACACTCGGCTGCACCTTCTGTAAAAACACAGAGTGTGGCTCTACTGTGCGAAAATTTTGAAGTTTGATCGGGTGAACAACAGCATTAATGTATTAAGATGCATTTACTGAAAATGCATT